CATCATCATCATCATCATCATCATCATCTATTCGACAAAGATTGGGACAACACAAGAATGCTTGTAAAGGAAGCAGGGTCCAACGGTCAGAAGTGGCCGAACACATGATCGAGACTGAACATGAAATAGTAGGTTTGCTGATTATGGCACGATTGATGTTCAACAGCCTCTCTCCCTCAATCTAGCAATCAAGCATACGTAGTTCCCACTCAACTTTATACCACCGTTCCTCACATTTAACGTATTTTCTAACTTATTAATTTTAATAGCCTCTCATCTTTCTTTTAAACACAGACGTACCGTAATCAGCAAACCTACTAGTTTGAGACTATTTTATTTCATGACCAGTTTCTACCGTGTTCGGCCACTTCTGACCGTTGGATCCAGCTATATTTGCAGGCATTTTTGTGTTCTCCCAATCTTTGTCGAATAGGTCGGCATGTCTCACCAGCATAACATCGACAACATGAGTAAACAATCTTGTAGCAACCGAATCTTAATAATGGACCGTATTTCCCTCTAAAAGCCAAACTGCAGCAGTACAAAGAGATTCATCCGTCCTCATCTGATGAGATCGACCAGCGAATCTCTTCTTTATGCACTTTCATACCAAATGAAGGTCCCCCTAATAAAAGTAATTAAATCAGTAGTCATAAGGAGTTTACGCCTAGCTGACGCAAATCATCAGGTACAGGAGTTAGAAAGACCAAGATAAATCTAAGTTGAGAGCAATTATTCTTATAGCACAGTAATATAACCCGAATAAACTGTATCCAAATAATTATGAGCTGTCTATATGGGACCAGCCAAGTTCCAGACCCAACATTCGGAATCCCTGGAATGTAGTTTTTTCTTTGAAGCAGAATTTGTTTAAAACCTTCCACGGAGTAGAAACTAGCGTCATTTAAGAAAATTCATTTTTTAATTGACTTACGAAGGAAAAGCAGATAAAAGCATTCCTATCTGACTTTAGTGCAATTACATACATCCAATCAGCACCTTTTTAATTGACCTATCAAGTCCTTGTCAGACCTAACGCCAAACACTTTCATAAGCATATTCAAAATTGATCGAAGTTGAACGTCTTCTACTTTTCATGAATGCATGATTCGCAAATATGCTCATGCTTTAACATTGTTTAGAGGACATGATTTGTCCCCTAAATTGTTTTTAGCACTCCTTTCCATTCACTCTGCTTGGAGCCTGCTTTTGCTCATTCGCCCATAGCCATTGTTTAGTGTCAAATCTCTTGTTAGCTAAAACTTTAGCGCTTGTTCATCCATATTACTTATCCATTTTCATCCATCTTGAGACAGACGGAGCTGCATAAGCTCACCGCGACTCTCGAGTATCTTCGTCTTCAGTGCCCTTTAGCCAACCGTAATTCTGACAGACCTCCTGGTTCGAGCACTTTTGTCCAACATCTCTTGTCTTCTGGTCCTGGACTGTTCAGCCCGGCCCAGGCACCAGTCACATCTGCCTCAACAGACAACTTGCGCGCAGTTATTGCTTCCCTCCCTTCGCAATACATCCCCGAATCTCAGCTCCATGCCCCACTGCAACATCAAGAAAACGATCATTTTCACCAGCATCATGTACTCCTTCACTCACATCTACCGCAGCAGTTATCAGGAGAAGGCAATCCAGCCGGATATGACACTCTTGATCACATGCATGCCTCGAGTCTTGGATCGCTCGATCGTCTTCGTACCTTCAATAGGCTCGGCAAGCTTGAGTTGGCCAAATTCGGACCCCTTGAATCTGGCGAGACGACGCCTCCACTACCATCTTCTGGTATGAATAGGTTCTCTCCGACCTGCTTTTCTGTTGCCTCACATTCTACAAATCCAATTCACGAGAATATTGAGTACGAAGTGAGTCAAAGATGAAATTTTCAACAATAATTATATATACTACTTATACTGTAGTATGTTAATGTTAAACGAAAATGCATCATATTTGCATCATTTTTGGTGACTTTAAGATCTCCGTCTTATTGATGAAATACTGTATTACTTTAGGAGTTTATTCGAATTTGATCTGTCAAAATCAAAACAAAATAGCTTAGAGATGTCATTATTTTTGTGTCAACTATTTTTTGTCCTCATTATGCTGCGAAATCACTTTACTAACAAATCAAAATCCCTATGATTCCTTGGCTCACCTGTTTGGCGGTCAGACTAATAGCATAAATGTTCATATGTAGGTTAAATGTCTAGAGAATATGCCTGATAATAAATTTTTGTATGTCATGTTTATTTGTGACTTCGTGTTTCTGAGCTTCTTAACTATATAACTATAAATTTTATCAGTAGCGCTGGCCTCTTACCACATATGTATACTTTGAGCTGTGATGCTTGCGGCATTTGATTTACATTTGTATCTGTTAATCGTTTGAAGAATCTTGCCGAATGGGTCCCTCTAGAAACCATCATATTCTATGTCTTTGTTAAGCCATCCTTCCCTTAATTATAGTTAATTGTTACTTAATTATTATCTATTCTGATTGCATTCTGTTAGCATCAGCTTATCATCGCATATGGCTAATCTTTTAAGAAAAGTTTCGTTGCCTCAGTTATCGGATCCATATATAATATTTAATCTTTATTTTCAGCCTATTTTATCTTCCTAGTTGCCTTATTTCAGGGCTATTATATCGGGGTTCGGGGGAATAATTCTAACTATTCGGGATAATTTTGCCTATTTTACACTTACATACACTTATTCCTAGTCAGTACTACTAAACATATAAGAATATAAAGTTAAGTTTTACTTGATTTTATTCCAATTTAACACGAATAGCATCCTGATTAACCTTTTTTATTTTTCAGTACCTGAAGAATATCCTTTATGAATACATGATCGGTAGACAGACACAAGTGAGTTTTTCACTAATTTTATTATCAAATATTTGACAAATTGGACGGAGGTTAGTTGGATGATAGCACTCAATGATAGACTACTATTCAATAAAAATTAGATCGAGTACTTTAATATTTGGGTATACATAGGCATCTATTTTAGCCTAAATATGAGCTCGTATCACTCTTTAGCTTCGATATGCGTGATAAATTTGGTATTATCTTTCTTCTTATTCACTTTACTTAATTTAGCCTGCCAACATATTTTACGCCCGATATATTGCCAATCACTTATTAGCACTATGTATACACAGACAGTAGATTTCAAAGGTATGAATACCAAGATGGTCTGGCCTTTTGTGTGGCTGCAGTAGATTTCACATTTGTCATAATCCCATCGGATTTCACTTAGCCTTGACTCTTCAAAGATTTTCTTCTCCGAGCTGGACTAAAACTTCCATCTTATTTGGGTTTTATTATCACCTTCAATGAGATTCGACACTGAAGCATGCGCATTAAGTGGAATTGTTAGCAGATAGCTTTTCAGTATGCCAGTGGTTTACAGAACAGACGTTAAATCCAATACAAACCAGTCCTCTCACAGTTCTAGTGTCGGTAAGCTAACTTCAGTTGATTGTAGCACTCGCAACAGAGATACTAGTAGTTTTTGAACCTACTTATTTAGTATATATTAGTGTATTTTATTGGAATCACAAAATTGAGTTTTTGCAAATGAAAAGAGTGAATTCGGAGAGGCTTAGCTTGCCTTACTATCTGAAATATTGGGTTCTGTGGCTGTGTCATAACGTTGTCAGTTGGTGTTTATGGTTCCGTTTGGTTCCGTACTGATGAGACCAAAACGAAATGAAAATGATAACCCAGCTCGATGAGTAAAACTTTTTAAAAGGTCAGGTTAATTGAAATTCATTGGTATCGTAACGCTTTTGTTCGTCGTGAAAACTCCTTTATCAGTCCTCCAATCACCTCAAGCTACCTGGGCTGATTCGATTTCTTATTCAAGAGCTCATAGGTGAAATTCAGTGGATTCGTCAATCATTCTACTCACTTCATTGTTTAAAACACGTTCGTATGTGAGTATTTTCGCTTGTATTCTTCGCTTAGTCCAAAGCGAATATGGCAAATGCAATCATGAACTATTAAACACATGGTTTTCTTTTGTTTAAAATTATTCTCAACAGGGCACTTTAATGCACATAATTTGTTTCTTTAAGGGAACGAATTCAGTAGATGTACAGTGGAGTATTCACATAGTTTCTGAGGCGCCCCCAATATTCACAGAAGACATGCTAACTAATTTCATTAAAAGCGAAAACTTATTGGGCTACCTGAAGCTTTATAAATACTTCGATGCATATTTTTGCATAAATGGCACTCTTGAGCATGAATGAACAAAACTACGAATTTAGCCCTTTTACTTTTATAAATTATAAGACTGAATCTAACTTAACTACTCATCCGTCTATTGTTACACTTTGCTGAATCTATTAGCTAATAACATGACCCCTTTGGTAACACAAATCG